ATGGGCCGACTTGGGGCCCGATTGGAATGCTCCAGGGCCGTCTTGGAGGCCATCTTGGGCGTCTTGGAGGCCATCTTGGGCGTGTTGGAGGCCTCTTGGGCCCTCTTGGGGCCCTCTAGGGGCCATCTTGGAGGCCACTTGGGCCATCATGGGGCTCTCTTGGGGGCCTCTTGGGCGATATTGGGGGCTTCTTGGGCCGTCTCGAGCCGTCGGAGAGCCGAAAAGGCGCAAATGCCAGAATCCTTCAAAAACCAATGAAAAATCAATGATTTTGGCCTCTACGGACTCTCCTGGAGGACCTCTTGGAGGCCTCTTGGGCCGTCTGGGAGGCCTCTGGGGGGCCTCTTGGGCCGTCTTGGGCCGTCTTGGACTCTCTTGGGCCGTTTTGGAGGCCGTCTTGGACCATCTCGGGCGGACTTGGAGGCCATCTTGGGCCATCTTCGCGATTTTTTGAGGATGTCCCGAGCGAAACGGCCGTTTTTTGGAGGATTTGTTTCCGGATTTTCGGCAATTTACGGGCCGGCGGGACGGGCCGAAGCCCACTGGGGAGTTCTTTTAGAAAAAGAACCAAAACCAAAACCTGAAATATCCAGCACGCCGTGCACCCCTGCAAGCAGGGGGCGGCGGATACAGTGGCCTTTGGCCCATCCCGCCACCGTGCCTGGGTTGTGGGTCTGGGTCTCCTGGATGCGTATTTGGGTATCCTGGTAACCCTCTCGGGGGCCTTTTTGGGCCTCTTGGGAGCCTCTCAGGGGCCTCTTGGGGGCCTCCTGGGGCCTGTTTGGGGCGCCATGGGGCGCCTCGGCAACTTCTGGCAGGATCTTGGGGCCATCGTTGGCCCCTCTTGGGACTCATGGGGGTGTCTCGGACCCTCTTGGGAGGCCCGTTGGGCCGTGCTGGGGCCCGCCTGGGCCGTCTTGAGACCGTTTGGGGGCATCTTGAGCCGTCTTGGGGCTATCTTGTGGGCCCGTGGGGCTGTCATGGGCGTTCGGAAGCCCGCACGTTTGTCCAATCGCATGGGGATGTATGATTTCGGCTTCTTGGGGACGTCTTGGGGGTTCTCTTGGGGCCCTCCTGGGACGCATTGGGAGCATCTTAGACCGTCTCGAGTCCGTCTTGAGTCCGTCTTGGGCGTCTTGGAATGCTCTTAGGTCATCTCGGGGCCTTCTTGGACCGTCTTGGGCGCCACTCGGGGCCTCTCCATCCTCGATATCCTTCTTCTCCCTCTTATCCGTCCTCTCCCTCCCTGCGCTCCCTTCCCCCTCCACTTTCCCAACCCCTCTTCGGATGCGGGGGACATGCATTCGCTTCCCCGCGAGTCGACCACGCGTAAGGGTGATTCGCCGGAGAGACAAGTCATGCGGTCCCACTGGGTCCCCCCAGAACGCGCGCTTGCTCTTGGATCTGGCCCTCCCGCGGTTTCCCAACGTCGCGCACCAAAGCTCGCACTGGCCTGAGGACATGTGTTTTCGGGCAGCCCATCCTCATGGCGTCCGGTCCTCTTCCTCCTCGTCCTTCCCCTCCTCTTCTTCCTCCTCCTTCTTTCCCTCCTCCTCCTCCTCCTCCTCCTTCCTCTCCTCTTCCCCCTCCTGCATATATGTGTTCTATATGTGTATTACTCAGTTTCTACATCTGGCGCCCATTCTCGGGCCCCGGGACCATCAAACGCTGATACGGGAAGAAACTTGCCCCCAGGGGGCCATGGATAGAAAACAATCCATCAGAAGTCTAGGAAGGGTGTCTGGAGGAAAGATGTTCGGAAGATTTGTACCCGATGGTGTGCGGCTAAGCCCCCCATTCGATGACGTCTTCTCCCTGGCATGGGCCGCAGCTATGGCACTTGTTTCAGCTTGCATTGCCACGACTACTCAGGCAGACTGGCGCGGGCGGGGTGGAGTGGTGGCGATGTATCCGTGCTTGAGTCGGGGAGCGGTCGGTTATGTGGCTGGAGGGTGGGCCTGGGACCGCTTGACGGGTAATCCCGCGCTCTGCGCAAGCATGAGGGCGATTCTCGATTACCACGTGTCATCTGATTTTGCAGCAGTTCTGGGACTGGCTAGGGGATGGCAATCAACCAACCACCCTTGAAGCTGCAGCGTGCTGCGATTGTTGATAATTCAGCTGGCACTGCTTCTGCTGCCTCTACTCCTCCCCTCTCATCCGGAGCATTTGTGGCTCAATATATACGATACCACGATTGCTCTCCATGTCCTCTATTAGCTAGCGATGCCATTGGCATCGCGCTTGGGTTTTGCAGCGTCCCTTGCGCCACTAGCTTCTGCGCTGCTGCGTCCACAGGTCCGCTCGGAGGCAAACGCTGTGCCGTTCCGTAATCGCACCAATCCAGACGATCTTCTTCGAAGATTCGGATCAACTAGCCATTCGGGCGAGCTCGACGATTACGACACCTGGTTAGACGGGCATGCAGCCGATCTTGACGCAAGGTGCACGGAATGCGTTGTAGTCGAGCCCGAAGACGAGGAACAGGAGATGCACGCTCTCGCCGAGGAGAAGTGTTCGATTCTGGTATCAGGTAGAGGGAAAGCCCTGGAGAATGGAGCCATCGTGTATCTGGTGACCCGGCCAATGGATTTGAATCGATTGAAAGACAGCTTGCCTCGGCTATGGTATTACCTGTTGCGGCATTGGCAATATGATGTGAAAGTGTTCGTGCCAGGGCAGAGCTTGCGCGAGCTCGACCCCGAGAGCTTTGGCACGTCCCCGTCTATTCAGCACGTGAACGACACACTGGCCCAGTACAGCGGGTTGCCTGTGGATTACAACATCGAAGTCGTGCCTTTTGACCTCGAATTTCCAAAGGTCCTCGCAGACACCAACGGCGAGTGGAAACAGCGGATGAATGGGTGCGCACAGGCAGTCAGCGAGGCAGGCAGCGTTAGCTACATGCACATGAACCAATTCTTCACCAAAGTCATGTACGAGCACCCCGCCCTCGCGCAGTACCGCTACTATCTCCGCTTGGATGCTGATTTCTCTTTCGTGAAGACTGTGAAGGAGGACCCGTTCTGCATGATGCGATTCACTGGCCGCAAGTTTGTGTGGCAGAAACGGAAGGGCATACATGACCCGCGTTGTTCTGACGGGCTTTGGGAGTGGTTCGAGAGTTATCGCGATCAAAACGACTTGGCCGCGGGCAAGGACGAGATCTTCTGGGGGGAGAACGGCGCACACGTGAACTACGTCGGATTTGCCACCATGGGAGACTTGAACTTCTTCCGCTCGGAGCGGGTGAGAAAGCTGGCGCACGCCATCAACGAGGACGGCCGCATCTACCTGAACAGGTGGTCGGACCAGACGTACTACGTTCTTCTGTTGGCGTTGTTCGAGGAGCACACGAAGGTCGGCGACATGGGCTTCAACTGGCCGAAGGACTCGTGGTGCCACAAGTGCGAGTTCCCGGACACTGACAGGCCGCCGTTCTCGTCCGTCCCACTGAACTCCCCGCTGGCGCCGCCATTGGGCGTCTTCGGCGGGCCCGGTGTTCACGACTGGGGCAAGTACAACTAGGCACTAGGCACCATGGCCGCAGAGTTTGTTGCAGCGAACAAAGAGGTAAGAGAAAACCATTGTACAAAAAATTGACGTCCAGGGCCCCGGTAGGCTGGTCACCCCAGGGGCAGGGGCCAAGGTGCAACCAGGCCGACCCTCCAGAGGTCAGAGGCAACACCAGAGATCAGCATCGGCTGATCCCTGGCAAATTGGAGTGCTCTTTAGCCGGGGAAGGGTCTGTGCTTCGGGTGCTCCTGACCCCCAACCCAGGGGGCTTCTGTCAGGTAGCTGGATACACTTGATTTGGCCTGCCAGGGCGAGAGCTGAATGCTCACTGTTGGTGCATGTTTGTGTCGTGCGATCGGGCCTCGCATGGCCCGTTACGCCAGCCCTCCACATAAGCATCCAGCTCGTGGCCTCCGCGGACGCCTTTTTCGTCGCAGCGAGGGCTCTCGGGGACCTGGGCCCCACCCCCAGGACCAGTTCTGATCGAAGACGCCTACGGCGAATCATCGCCGCCCCCTGCCTTGGAATCTCCCATGTGGCCGAGCGTTGTGGCAAGAGCTCTGCGAAGCTATCGGGCCATCTGTTCCCCCAGCCGTTGTAGAAACCCTTCGGGGAACACTTGGCGGAGGATGACGGGGAAGATCAGGAGGAGGAGGAGGAGGAGGAGGAGGAGGAGGAGGAGGCATCTTGGGAGCCTCTGGGGGCACTCTTGGGGCTTCCTTGGAGCTTCCTTGGAGCCTACGGGAGGCATCTTGGGGGCCTCCTTGGTCCTCTTGGGAGCCTTTGGGGGCTTCTCGGGGGCCTCTTTGGCCGTCTTGGTAGCCTCCTCGCCCGTCTGACGCCCTCGGAAGCAGTCTTCAGGGCCTCTTTGGGCCGACTTGGGGCCCCCTTGGGGTGCTCCAGGGCCGTCTTGGAGGCCATCTCGGGCGGATTCGAGGCTTCTTGGGCCGTCTTGGGGCCCTTTTGGTGCCGGTCTCGGGGCCTCTTGGAAGGCTTCGTGGGCGATCTTCGGGCGATGTTTGAGGACTCTTGGGCCGTCTCGGGCCGTCGGGAGATCGAAAAGGCGCAAATGCCAAATCCTTCAGAAATGTAAGGCAAATCAATCATGTTGGTACCTTCGGGCCTTCCGGAGGCCGTCTCTGAGGCCGTCTTGGAGGCCTCTTGACAACCTCTTGGGCCGTCTTGGGCCATCTTGGAGCCATCTTGGGCCGTCTTGATGGCCTCCGTGCCCGTCGGAAGCTGCCTTGAGGTTCTCTCTGGGCCGACTTGAGGCCTTCTTGTGGTGCTCCAGGGCCGTCTTGGAGGCCATCTTGGGCGTCTTGGAGGCCTCGTGGGCCGTCTTGAGGCCTTCTTGGGGCCGTCTTGGGGGCCTCTTGGAGCGGTCTTGGGGGCCTCTTGGGCCGTCTTGGAGCGTCCGGAAGCCGAAAAAGCCAGAAGGCAAAAAACATATGAAAAAAACAATGAAAATCAACGATTTTGGCCTCTTGGGGCCCTCTTCGGAGGCCTCTTGGAAGGCCCTTGGGGCGTCTTGGAGGCCTCTTGGGCTGTCTTGGGGCCCTGTTGGGCGTCTTCGGGCGATCTTTGGCCGTCTCGGGGCCCTCTTGGACCGTCTTGGTTTGTGCTTGCACGTGAAGGAAGTCAAGAGGGGTTTTCATTATGTCGCCCCTTTGGCTCCGCTCCTTCTTGCATCGCATAGCTTCTCTGGTCCAGAGTCGATGGATGGGCGCCATCCCTGAGGGCCGGCCGCGCCGCTGGCCTGGGTGGTAGTGGCGCTGGAGGCCGCGGCCTGCGTTGGAGCAAAGGAGGGCCCGACGCGGGCGGCTTGCCCTGACCCTCGTGCCCGGCCTGTCCTGCGTGTCCAGAGGCGGCGGCTGGCCCAGAGGCCGCGGCCTGCCCGGCTTGCGAGCCGCCTCCCCGCGCGGCTTGCCGGCCTGCGAGCCGCCGCCGGGTGCGACCCGCCCGGCCTGCGAGGCGGCCGGCGGCGGCGCCGGGCGAGAGGGCGGCGGGGAGGCTCACTGGTGTGTTGCCCGGAGGCCTGGTGTACTGGCTGGTGGGAGTTCCCGGTCGCGGGCATGACGACGCTCGCGTGGTGGCTCCTCAGCGTCGTGGGGCGGAGGTGGTGGACTAGAGCGCTCTCAGTGGAGCCTGGGGTCTGCCGATTCGCCGGCGACGACGTCGATGACGTATGGGTGCAGCTGCACCACGTGGCAGAGGGCGGACGGGTCATCCTGTCCCCAGAGGTTGACATCTACGTGGAGGACATGAGCTGCGGCAGGGCCGAGACCTGGCCTGCCCGACCCATCCCGCTGGCGCAGCGGATGGGCAGGAAGCGGAGGCTGTATCGCTTCGAGGAGGCGCTGGGGCCTGAGAGTCGGGCCAAGACGCTGACGCGGGGCCGTCAGGCGGCGCTGGAGGTAGAGGCGGCGTCGCCTGAGCCGAGGGAGGCCGGGGCCGTGAGCGGCCAGCGGGTCTCGTGGCAGGAGGACGCTGGTAGGCGTCTGGCCGTGGAGCGGAGGGGCCTGCTGTACCCGAGCATGGCCGTGGCTCGCCGGGCGGGGACGCCGCTGGAGGCTCCTGCTGGGGGTGACGCCTGGGTCGGCCGCGGTGGCGTGCCCGACGGTGTGATCGGGGCGGAGGTCGACGTGGCGAGGACTGGAGGCCTGAGCTTCGAGGACGGGCCTGAGGCGTTCGGCGTGCTGAGGTCCGCCGACGGTGGCACAGGGCGGCTCGGCCGGCTGGACGCGGGGTCGGACGCTGGGCGCCTGGCAGAGGAGGAGGCTTTCAGGCATGGCCCAAGCAGGAGCCAGGCACGAGCCAAGGGCCCCGAGCGCCGACGCACTGCGGCCGCGGCGCCGCTCGAGGATGAGGAGCCCGCCGGGCCCCCATGGGGCGGCACGGCTATGCCAGAGTTGGCGCAGCCGCTGCTGGAGGGGCCGCAGGGCGAGCAACGTGACGCCCTCGCCCGCACGCTCTGGGTCTTCTACGACGAGCAGGGCGGACGGGACAGACGATGGCGAGACGTGGTAGGCGAGTCGAGGCAGGGGCGCCGCCCAGACGCACGGGTGGGCAGACCGCCGGGGGCTCTCCACATGCGCGAGCACATGGTGAGGCACGGAGGCGACCTGCGGCTCGAGCCCGACCTCACCGTATGCGTGAGGGGCCGTGGGGAGAATGACTGGGTGGTGCAGAAGCTGAGGACGATCGTGGAGGCCTGGTACCAGGGCTTATTACGTGTCCAGCTGAACATGAGCGGCCTGCAGTGATGGTGGGGAAGATGACTCACCGCGGGTCCGCCACGCTGGAGGCCTACGGAGACCTGCTCAAGCCGAGCTGGACGAACGCGGACATCTTCGCGGACGTGAGCTCGGAGAAGGACGTCTCGGGGTCAGAGCTCAGGGGCTACATCCACCAAGGGGCGCAGAAGACGTACGAGGTGGAGCAGGTGCAGAATCGGGCAGGTACGCTACGCGGGGTGCCTACTAGGACCGTCGGCGGAGCAGAAGGAGCTGGAGGCGACGCAGCAGGTGCGGGGCGTGGTGGCGGCCGAGGCGGCCGCGGGCGCGGCCGGGCCAGGGGCGTCGCCTCCGCGGGGCCATGACGGCCCCCGGGCCCGGGGGGACCAGCCCCTCCCCCGGGCCCTTTTTGCCGGGGCACGACGGCGGCCGCCTGCCGCCCTCGCGTGGAGCCCGCAGCTTCCTGCCGCTCCCGCTGCTGGGCGACGCTGGCCGCCGAATTCGCGGCAGGTCTTGCAGGGCGAGGCAGTTCGGCCGAGAGAATCGGATTGCGGCGGAGGTCAACGGCATCGTCGATGCCGTTAACTGGATGTCGGGGTACGACTCGCTTCCTGGCCCAGCCAATGACATGCAGCGGGATGTACTAGCGCGCTTCGAGGGCCTCGTTCGGGGCCGGCAGCCGGACGCCAGGTTGCAGGATCCGCGGGCGGCCCTCCGGGAGCTGCTGCGGGGCCGCTCGCCATACGACGGGCGCAGTGGCCCGACGACGGTCGCCTCCTACAGTGCAGGGCTCGTCAGCATGCCGATGGACGTGAGCGACTGCCCGCGTCTAGAGGACCTCTTGCCTGGCGAGGCCCTTACTTTCCTGCAGGAGCGCCATGAGCGCATGTTGCGAGAATCACCCTTGCCGACTGACGTCGAGCCATACTTCGACTCGGTCCTCAAGTTCAACCACAAGGAGTACCGCGGCCTGGTGCGCCGGCTGCTGTCGGCTGGCATTCTGGGATGGACTCTAACACCGAAAGAGAGAATTGGGATGTTTTTCGTGTGGAAGGATGGGCGGCGCCGACTTCGCCTCATAGTCGACGCCCGCCGTACGAACGCCCACTTCAAGGACCCTCCTGGGGTGGAGCTTTTGAGCAGCGAGGGCCTTGCCAGAATCGAGGTGCACATGCCAGACGCGGGCTTCTCGAACTACGAGGACCTCCGCGCCGCGCTGGAGGCGCAGCAGGTGTACATCGGCATGGCGGACGTGAAGGACTGCTTTCATAGGATGCGTATTGATTCGGCCCTCTCGCAGTACTTCTGCCTGCCGCCGGTCAAGGCTGGGGCTTTCGGCGTGACCGAGGTCGAGGGGGCCAAGGTGCAGACGTCGACGGCCATCTACCCTTGCTGGCAGGCGCTGCCCATGGGCTTCAGCTGGTCCCTCTACTTCGCCCAGCGGGCCAACGAGGAGGTGAGCCGCCGCAGCAGCGCGCTCCTTCGGGGGCCCGGTCTCTCAGACCATGGGCCACCGCTCGTGTTCGCGCCGGGCAGAGCGTCCGAGGAAGTCAGACACTACGTGTATGTTGATAACTTGGGGGTCTTCTCGCTCTTCTCTGAACTCGTGAGCGGCGTGATGAACCAGCTGACAGGCGAGTTCGCCAAGCTGAGCCTACTGCTGCACAAAGACGAGCTGGTGCCGGACAAGGCAGTAGCGCTGGGCACGGAGATCGACGGGGGCCAATTGCGCACTCGTGTGACCAGTGATCGGTTCTGGCGCTGCCGCCAGGCCGTGCGAGGCCTCCTAGCCCGCCGCCGTGTCAATGGGGTGGGCCGTGGAAGCAGCGCTGGGCCACTTAACCTTTTGTGGCCTCTGCTCGCGCGGCACCTTGTCAGCCTTCAATTCAGTCTGCGGCTTCGTGCGAGCCCACTACGACGAGGCGGCCGCGCTATGGGCTGAGGCGCGGCAGGAGCTGACGGCCTTCAGCTCTTTGATGTACTTCCTGGAATCAGATTGGTGGCTACCTTGGAATCCCTTGGCGCAGCAGTCAGATGCCAGTCTTCACGGCTACGGACTGGCAAGGGCCTTTTGGCCGCGGGAGCTGGTGGAGTCAGTCGGGCGCGTGCCTGAGCGAGCCCGCTTCCGCCGGCGCTGCGCGCACAGTGCCCGCGAGGCTGCGTTCTGTGCAGCTGGTTTCAGCATGAGCGAGAGTGGAAAATGGGAACTCAAGGTGCCCGCCCGGGGGCTCCGCGCAGGTCTGCGGGAGCCCTGCTTCGCAAGAGCCTGGCAGCACCCTGAGGGCATCCTGACCTTAGAGGCCCGAGCCCTGGTCAGCAGCATACATCGTATCGCCACCACGGTGTTTGGGCCCCACATACGTCAGTTGCTGCTCTGTGACAATATGTCGGTCGTGCTAAGCTTCAATCGAGGGAGGAGCTCCTGTTTCAACTTGTTGGTCCAGATTCGTCGATTTCACGCTGTCTGTCTGAGCCGAAATATTCGTTGTTCGGTTCGTCTGTGCCGACCTCCCCTCACGGCTATTCGATCCTGACGGAGCAAAGTCCGCCCTTCTGGCTGAGCTGTTGGAGCTCGAGGGCTCCCAGGCGGGCTCAGGGCGGGTTCCCGCCTGGTCCGCACCTGAGAAGGTAGCCGGTGGCGCCGCGGCCCGCGATGCTGCCTGTGCGCCCGCGGGCGCCGGACGGGCGTGGCCGCTGCCTCGGCCCCCTGCAGACCAGACAGGGCGCGAGGCCAGGGGCGGGACGCCGGCGCACGCGGCGGCCGGCGCCGTCTCGCCTGAGGCCTGGCCTGGGGCCGTCTGCCCAGGGTCAGGAGGCGGGGTGCCCGTGGCATCTTGCCCCTTTGGCGCCAGTGACGCCGCTGCCGTCGCCGGCAGCGCGGCGGGCGCACCTGCTGTGCGAGTCGGAGCTCCTGAAGACAGCGGTGCAGGGCCGTCCCCTGCCGCGGGGCCTGGGACAGATGGCGGAGGACCTGAAGGAGATGCCTGTGCCAGCGGAGCCCGCTCAGGGAGTGCGAGAGAGCGACGGCTCCTCCGACAGCGGGAGCTCCGAGCCCGAGGTCGAGACCGACGCCGCGCGGCAGCCCAGGCTCGCGCAGTCGCACGAGCGCCTTGCCCGCCACTACGGGCCCCCTTACCTGGAGAGGGAGGCCGCGTGGATTCCGTCGCTGCGCGAGTACCAGAGGGTTGCGACCATTGGCGAGGTCATGGAGAGCAGGGACGATGCCATGGTGACCTCGGCGTTGGTGAGCCAGCTGACCGGACTGCACCAGACTGGGACTCACCCCTCCTGGGCCGAGAGGCTGATGGTCGGCGTCCTGCACTTCAACCCCGACGGGTCGAGCTACGGTGCCTGGCGCCCCCCCCCGGGCTGGAGTTTCTGGACCCTGAGGCTCTCCCCGGAGGAGGAAGGCCCGTGGGAGAGAGCGGGCCTGGTGAAGGTGTCGCTAGAGTCAGACTCGACCTGGATGCGCTTCTTGTGCCCTGTGCTGTGTCAGATGAAGAAGGTGAAGCACCCCGAGTACCCGTGGAACTTCACGTGCCCAGAGTACCGCAGGAGGTTCAGCCTACGTCTTCAAGACCTGCCAGCAAGAGCCGAGTTGGTGCCGTATCAGGTTTGCCTTTCAAGGGCCTTGGTATGCATGGCGAGGAGGTGGGGGCGGCTGGCCGAGGTGCAGACACGCTGGCAGTGGAGAGCCAAGCGCAGCGTCGTCCGCTACGAGAAGCACGCGCGCCTGGCAGCCACGTGTTCAACTCGGAGCCGCACGGTGCAAGACGTGTTCCTGGTCTGCGGGGTTCAGCTCGCGGACATCATTTCGGATCGCGCCTCGCCGCTCGACTTGCGGGAGCTCGGCTGCGTCTGACTGGCCGATATGTGGCCGACTGCTTCAGTGGCAAAGGAGGCGTGGGTCGGTCCGCAATGGCCATGGGCGTGCCAGCCAGGTTCTGGGACACGCTGCACGGGCCGGGCGGCGACCTCACCCGACGGAAGGTCCTGCGGGGCTTGTGCTCCGACATCGCCGCAGGCCGCGTCTTGGCCGTGATGCTAGCGCCGCCTTGTGGGCCTTGGACCACCGCTGCCGACCGAGTGGGAGCCATCCGCTCGGCATCGCAGCCCTGGGGACTTCCGCGGCATCTTCTGAGTACAAAACAGCTGGGTCGCCTGGCATCGGGCAATAAGACCATGCGGGCCGCGCTGAGCGTCATCAGATGTTGCGAGAATTTCAAAGTCCCCTGCATACTTGAGCATCCTGTGAATTCACGCGTTTTTGCCACGAGAGAGGTTCTGGGGGTTATAGAACGGGGGGCTGTTGTAAGATGTCTCGATCAGTGTCAGGAGGGGGCTCGCTGGCGCAAACGAACAAGATTTTTGTGTCTGAACATAGATGTTCAGGATAGTTGCTGCCTCGATCGTCGGTGTGGTCAGATCAATGGTATTTGTAACAAGTCTGGCCGTCCACACATCGTGCTGGAGGGCAACGCCCCGAATGGTGCGAAATGGACCGCTATCGCTGCCGCCTATCCGCCAGCCCTCAATAGGAAACTCGCTAAAGTCCTTTTGAGTGAATGGCGCGCGTCGTTATATAATCACCCTTGCCCACCCACCCAGTAAACATTCTTGGGAACGGCTTGGGTTGACGGTGCCTCACAGCTGAGCGCAAGGACGCGCAGCCGTTCGTTCATCTGTGTCCCCGCCTTGAAAAGATCTCGGGACGTCCTGGTTTGTGCTTGCACGTGAAGGAAGTCAAGAGGGGTTTTCATTATGTCGCCCCTTTGGCTCCGCTCCTTCTTGCATCGCATAGCTTCTCTGGCCCCCCGCCCCCCCGAACCCTCTCGAGCATGCGTGCACACACATGCACTTTCTCATTTTTCTCTCTGTGGTTGACGGTGCCTCACAGCTGAGCGCAAGGACGCGCAGCCGTTCGTTCATCTGTGTCCCCGCCTTGAAAAGATCTCGGGACGTCCTGGAGGCTTCTTGGGGACCTCTTGGCCCGTCTTGGGCCCCTGTAACAGGGCTCCGGCATCTCTGGCCCGACCTTGCCGGGACCTTGCCGGGGACTTGCCGGGACCTTGCCGGGGACTTGCCGGGACCTTGCCGGGGTACTTTTCGTCCGGGGACCCCCAGGGGCCGCCCCGCGCGCGCGAACTAGAAATACTGTTAACCAGGTACCGGAGATCTTAGCACGCCCTGGCCCGTTGGGCCGGCGAATTTTTACCCCCCAGGAATTCTGAGAACCCTCCCGGGTGACGCTAACCAGGATAGTTTTCGGCTCCCTCTCTCGCGCGGACAGTAACAATTTACAGTAGGAAGCAGAAAGCAGTACTGTAACAATGGAAACTGGAAGCTGGAACTGGCGCAGGGAGCAGCAAGCTTAACCCTCGCAGCCTGATGGCCCCGCAAGGGGGCCGGCGGATATACACACATAACTACACACTACCATATTTTCATGTACGCATGCATACAAACACGCATGACAGCATATATACATACTACATACGTCCATGCGTACATACATAGAGAAGTCGCACGTGCCTACCCAGGCTCATACAACACGCATATACAGGATGTTTGTATGGCGTGTTGTGTGTTGTGTGTGCTTTGTGCGAGAGATTTTTTGTTGTTGTGTGTGTGTGTGTTTTGCGTGCTATGTGTTCGGGGTGTTGTATGTGTATGTGTGTGCGTTGTATGTGCTGCTTGTGTCGGGTTCATTGGGTGTGATGTGTCTGTGTGCTGAGTATGTGCGTGCGTGTGTGTTATCAGTGTGTGTGTGTGTTCTGTGTATTGTAGGTGCTGTGTGTGATCTGTGCGTGTGCGTGTGTAGTGTGCATGTGTGTGCGCGTGTGTGTGTGTGTGTGTGTGTGTGTGTGTGTGTTATGAGCGTGTTCTGTGTGTGTGCGTGTTGTACTCGACACTGGGAGGATGTCTCCGGCGAAACAGCCGTTTCTTCTAATAATTGTGTTGACAGTGGCTCGGTTTCTGGAGGATGTCTCAGGCGAAATTGCAAGTTTCGAAGCAACGGGCTCGAACTCACTGAACTCCATTCTGTGTTTGAAGGCTTCACGCCAAAATGATTGAACAAAAAGGCTGTATGTTTTGGACCTTGACGTCGTGATCTGCGTGATGGGTGCGTCCGATTTTCAGGATTTTGAGGATGCCCCGGGAGAGGCGGCCAGAACAATCTCGGACAGGACGGAACCATGTACTAGTCGCCGTTGAGCTCTACCCGGAATATGAGGAGGATGAGGGGAGCAGGACGAGGAGGAAGAGGAGGAGGAGAAGGAGGAGGAGGAAGAAGAAAGAGGAGGAGGAGAAGGAGGAGGAGGAGGAGGAGGAGGAGGAGGGTGGAGGAGGGGGAACGCAAGGGGCAGAAGGTGGGACCGAGGAGGAGCGCGCAGGCTCGCGCGGCGCGGGATTCGCCGCCGCAGCCCCCGGCGCGCGGCCTGCAATGCCCCGGGCCTGCTGGCGGTCGGCACTGGCGGGGCGGCCCTCTGCGGGGCCTGCGGGGAGGACGGCTGAGGCCCCGGCGGCGCGCGGCTAGGGCTCCTCGTCCCCGTCCTCCGCCCGATCCTGATCCCCCCCTGGAATGCGACCTCGACTCAGTCAGGTCGCTGGGCCAGGCCGCGAGGAGACCCCGCCAGGAGTTGGAGGATGAGGGGTCCTCCGACTCCGACGGGGGACGTGGGTTCATATGTTTTGTCCTGAGCTTGGGTCGCTCCACAACAACCTGATCCTCCTCCTGACCCGATCCTCCTCGTGGTCCGCCTCCGCCTGGTCCTTCTCTTTCCTCCCTCCCTCGCCTCCTCCCTCATCTCTCCACCTCCTCGTCCTCCTCCTCCTCCTCCTCCTCCCGCTCCTCCTCTTTCCTCCCTCCCTCGCCTATCTCCTCATCGCTCCTCGTCCTCGTCCTCCTCCCGATTCCCCCCCATCTCCATCTCCACCTCCTCCGCCATCCCTCATCCTCAGTAGACCAGGCCGCGCGCTTCGCTTGAGACCTCCTTTTGTATTGTTTCGAAGGTTACTCCTCTAGCAGCTCCACGCATGGAGGACTGTCGGTGGTCAACATGCGGCCATCGCTTGAATCCGCTTCAGTATCTTCCAGCAGTTACTCGGATGGAGGGGCAGCGGCTCTCACAATGTGACTGTCGCCCCAGAGCCGCGCGCGTTCGTGGTAACGCATTCCAGCTGTTGCACCGCGCCCCCCCCCCCCCTTGGCCGCCGGTCATGCTTTGCGCCCCTCCCTCTTGGACGCCTCGGGCGAAGAGAACAATGCACATGCATCGATTTTGGCCAGGCCCATCTTGGGCCCAGGATCGGTGCATCTGCTTTCCTGGCCAAGGCAGGAGGGCAGCAGGGCCCGAGGGCCCACGGAGGGCAGCCAGTGCCACCGACTTCCGCCTGCCTGCTCCGCTGTCTCGGCCCGGGAGCTGCCGCCGGCCTCGGCCGCAGCGGGCCCCCTCTCAGCGCGACCCTCCGAGGCCCTCGGCGCCTCCTCGCCGCCCCCTGGCGGAGCTCGTGCCGACGCCTCCGATTCGCTTCGGTTCCGACTCGGTTCGACCTGGGATTCCTCGAAGAAGGAAAAGCAACAACAAAACACACAAGCACCGACTCTTTGGCGCTCCGCGCGGACTTCTTGGATCCGCGCTGGGCCCCCCCCTGGCGGCGCCTCTGGCGCCGCCTTTGGCGCGCCAAGAAGTCCGCGCGGATCTCCACAAGTCAGCGCTTGTGCCTTGTCTGCTCCCTCCCACACCGACCCGGATTCCGGTTTCCCAGTGCTGAGGCCTCATTGGCCTGCCCAGCTCTGCCGATGCCATCTCTCCCGAGCTGGCTGTCGCGTTCCGCCGCTCCGGTTCCGTTCGCTCGCGAGCCGACTTCTCGATTCGATTCTGGGCTCTTTCTTGCTCGCCCCCGTGCATCGGAAGTCGAACCCCAGACCTCTCCAGGGGTGTGCTCTGCGGGGCGTCCGGGGGGAATCCAGATGGCGACGAGAAGCTTCCCCGAGGCCCACGACAGGGCGCGGTGCGCTCAGAATCGGAAACTGGAGCATGGACATTACCAGCGTCGGGCTGTTTTCAATCCCAGGACGTTCTGAGGGTCGGGGACGACGTCGGGGTTGTGTGGTGTATACGTTTTTCTCCGTTCTCCCGGGAAGCAGCGAAAAATGTATACGCCAGGATCCCGTATACACCAGGATCCGCTTTCTGGTGCGAGCTTCAGTGCGGGGCCGGAAACAGTGTCGGTGTACAAAGTTCGGCTCCCGACAGTAGCTTCGATCCTCGACGCTCGCCGCCAACCCTCGTGCGACCTCCGCTGCGCAACCCTTGTGCCGCCGCCGGCCGTGGCCGCAGCGGGGACGCGGCCTCTCCGCTCCGACGGCTTGGCCCGGAAGAGCCGGCGGCCGGGTGGCCGCCAGCGGGCCCGAGTGGCGGCGGCGCGGGCGCGCGGGCGCGCGCGCGCCTCGCGCGCCGGTCTTTCCTGTAGGCCTCCTGCATGGGGTGGGAGTGGATGGGGTCGGAGGATCGCGCCGCATCGCCGATGCATCGACGATGCGGCTCGATGTGGAGCCCGTGTTTCGCCACGCCGATGCATCGCCGATACATCGCCGACGTCGCCGATGCATTGGCGATGCGGCACGACCCTTCGACCCCATCTAGGAGGCCTCCTATGGTCGGAGGGAGGAGCAACGACGCCACCACCACCAGGCCATCTCCAGCGAGGAGGTCGGGGGCATCTCGAGCGAGAGGGGGGGGCAGCACACGCACGGTGCCCCCCCGTGCTCCAGGGTCGGGGACGTCGCGAGCGAGAGGCGGGGCACACCGCCGGGGAGGGCACTCCCTGGCTCCTCAGGCTGGCAGTGGTGGTGCCGATGTGCGCTGCTCCTGGATCCTGGGTTTCAGTCTGGCGTGTCCCTCGACAGGAGGAGTATTCAAAGATAGTCCAAAAATAGTCAGGCGACGATCGTTTGACTATTTTTGAGTATGTTTTGAGTCTGTTTTGAGGTGTGTGTGTGTATGTGTATATGTGTATATTGTTCCAAAATCCGCCTGTAGGAGGACATGCCCGACCTGATCCCAGGACGGGCCCCTGCGGGATGGGGCCCCTGAGGGTAGAGGAGAGAGGGGGAGGAGGAGGAGGAGGAGGAGGAGGAGGAGGAGGAGGAGGAGGAGGAGGAGGAGGAGGAGGAGGAGGAGGAGGAGGAGGAGGAGGAGGAGGAGGAGGAGGAGGAGGAGGAGGAGAACTTGTATCATTCAAGGCCTCCTCGCCCCGAGGGCCCCATGCCTCGGGGCTCCCTCTTTGAGGTGCCGACTGGCGCCAGCTGCCAAGCGCGCAGGGAATGCCCCCCCCCCAGGGTCGACGTCGTCGACGTCGTGCTCGTCGTCAGCGTCATCGTCGTGCTCGAAGTCGTCTTGCTCGCCGCCCCCGTCGTTACGTCGCCGTCCTCGCCGCAGTCGGCCTTACCGTCGGCCTCGGCGTCGTGGTCGTCGTCGGTGTCGGCGTGGTCGGAGTCTTCGCCGCGGCATTGACGCAGTCGGAGAAAGAGGAGGAGGAGAAAGAGGAGGAGGATGGAAGGAGGGGATAAGGAAGAGGGGGTAAAGGGAGGGGGCGGGAGGAGGAGGAGGAGGAGACCGTAGGTTCTTCTGTGTTCGCGTGGATTGCGGATCTTGCAGCTAGCGCTGGAATGGGGAGGAGGGAAGCGGCAAGCGGGGGAGCAGAAGGAGGAAGAAAGAGGGAGGAGGGAATTGGAAGCAGGGATTGGCGAAAACGAAGACGAAGGAAAAGGCGGATGGAGGAGGAGGAGGAGGGCGAGGAGGAGGAGCAGGACTAGGAAAGGAAATACTAAGAAGGAGGCGGACGAGGGATGGGGAAAGAGGAAGGGGGGCCGGATGAGAAGTGAGCAGAGGGGGGAGAATGAGGACAGGGGAGGCGGATGAGAAGGAGGAGGAGGAGGAGGAGGACGAGGAGGAGCAGGAGCAGGAACAGGAGCAGGAGCAGGAGCAGGAGCAGGATTGGCTGTTGCGAGGCCAGCAGGATGATAAGGGTCCTGATGATGAGGGTGACGATGTGGACGACGACGACGACGACGTCGACGACGACGACGACGACGATGGGAATGTTGACGACTACTAGGACGAGGACAAGGCCCGGGACCACAGCTGTGTTGGCCCAGGCCGTAGCGGTTTCGAATCGGGTGGTCGCAGCTAAGTGTTTCGGGTTTCGGGCGCAGCGTCAGCCATGCCCACGGGGAAGGTCAAGAAGTTCTTCGAGGACAAGGGCTTTGGCTTCATCACTCCTGACGACGGTGGCGAGGACGTGTTCCTGCATCGCAAAGTGCACGGGGATGGCCAAGACCGCACCGCGTATATAGAAGAGGGCGCCTCCGTCACGTACGAGGTGGAGTGGGACGACCGCAAGGGCAAGTACTCAGCCTCGTCTTGCGAGGGCCCCTGGAAGACAGGCGGTGGAGGTGGAGGCGGCGGTTGGGGCGGCGGCGGTGGTGGCTGGGGTGGCGGCGGTGGTGGTTGGGGCGGTGGCGGTGGTGGCGGCGGCTGGGGCGGCGGGAAAGGCGGTGGGAAAGGCTATAACGCCTGGTGAGATGAGGCGGGGTGGTTCGGGCGGCGGGGGTGGCTGGGAGCGGCTGCTGGGGCGGTGGCGGCTATATCACCTACTGAGATCGGAGTGCGCACGGTCGGGAAACCCTGTGTACAGGACATTCTTTTACGGAGTGCCAGAGTCATGATCCGCAAAAATAGACGAGCGAATCATCCCTGATTATCACCGTCTTACACCTTGCGGCAGTTGTCTTTCAAATGGTCTAGAGGTACCTACTCCAGAGCGCCTCGAGAGGCGTCGGATTGCAAGCTGGCCATGTGTCAGAAAGTCCGAGTTAACATCGGATGTAACTCGAATGGGTCCGGGGTTCAGGAAAGCTGAGCTCTCCTGCCAAGGGACAGCTCCTCGAGGGCAGGATCCGGTGCGCGCGCCTGACACATTCCCCTCATGTCTCATCCCTCTCCCCTCAAGTGGACCTCGGTCCATCCTGCATCCGTGCCTGGTTGGGGCAAGGACCAGAAGCCTCTTGGATGCAACTTGCGTAGCGTCTATTGGGTTGTCCCTTCGGGGCCTCTTGGAGGCTGCTCGAGGGCCTCTTGGGGCCTCTCGAGGGCATCCCAGGGGCCTCTTCGGGGCCTATGGAGGATCTTGGCTCCATGTCCAGCTGCATTCGGCAAGTTCCACCACCTTGGCAACGCCTCGAGCACCGCACAGGGGGCCGTACCATGTGACACCTCTCGTCTCTGCTTCGTCGTTACGACAGTTCGGCCAGAATAGCGAGGGCACATTTTTTCACACAGTCCGCCCAGGGGCCCGAAAATGTTCCACCTCGGTCGGAATTGCGCTTGTGGGGGGGTCCCGGGCGAAATCGCCGTGTCGACTTCGGACCGACGAGTTTCTACTTCGATCGTTCAGCTTTTCTTCGTCTTGGGCGGGATCGGCATTTCGATATCGAAGCGACGAGTTTCGACATCGCGTCCAAGTATTGTTCGATGAAGTCGCACGCGACCGGTATAGGTTCTACTCAAGAAGCTTACGCCATTCCGCCGACCCCCAGAAGAGGGCATCCGCGGCTTCCGATGTTGTGTGTATGTGTTGATTGAAACACACACATACACACACGCGCGCACATACACGCGCTTCCGTCGTGCTGCCTGCGTGTAGTTGTTGCTTATTCGTCCTCATCTTCTCCGCGTCTGCTGCTTGGCTTCTTGAGTCTTGGAGGCCAGTGGGGCGGCCTCTCAGAGCTTTTGCCAGGATTCTGGGGGGTTCGGGGGGGGCCTCTGGGGAACTCTTGGGGGCATGTTGGGAGTCTTGGAGGCCGTCTTGGTGGGGGGGCTCCCAGGGTCCTTGCAGGTTCCCCATGTTAGTCTTATCTTATCTTGGGCCCTTGTTTGGGCCCTCTTGATGGGTTGGTTTGCTGTCTTGGGGGCATTTGGAGCAATCTTGGGACCCTCTTGGGCCGTCTCTGGAGCTTCTTGAGGGCCTCTTGGACCGCCATGGGCCAGTGTGGTGGGCCTCTCGCGCTACTAGGCTTGCAGATGCCCGCGAAAACGCCACAATAATTCAACAGCTTTTGGGGAATGACTGGCGTGTCTCTTATGGCCTTTTTGGGGGTCCTCTTGGGCCCTCTTTCGGCGCATCGGGCCGTCCTGAGGCTGTCTTGGGCGTTCCTGAGGCCTCTCCGGCGCCTTGGAGCCCTTCTCGGGCCATCTTAGAAATCGTCTCGGGCGTCTTGGCGGCTACGGCGGGTTGATTTTGAGGCTCCGAGGGTGCTCTGGTGGCCCCCCCCGCGGGTGCGTTGGGGAGTTCGTGCCCCACGTGGCGGGGCCCTCAAACCAGCTTTTGGACCCAGGGTGTGGGGAAGGGGGAAGGGGACAGCCAATTATTTCACACGCCTGCAGGCGGATGTCGGCGGGCTTCTCTTGTCGGCGAAGTTCCTCCCATGTCTGTCTGGGATGAGCGAGACAGGTCCCGCCTAGGCAGGCCCGACAGCAGGGATTCACCGACATCTTGGCCTCCGGCTCAGCCAGCACAGCGGCTGGCAAGATCATCGACCGGATGCAGCGCTAAACGCGTCAAGCATGTACAGTGGCGGCTACTTGCGACTCCACCGTGGAACCCTTGCAAAACACCAGTCGCGTAATTCCTAACATTTCAAAACCCGACAGGGTTGGCCGAGTCATAACGACGATTCCACGCGAGATTTTTTGAAACAAACAATTTCGACCAATGTCGAAACTTTCGGGTTCAAAGTCGAATGACGATTCCGCCAATGACCTCCTTCAAAGCAGAAATCGTAAGCAATCGGGTTCAAAGTGGACATGGCGGTTCTGCTCAGGACTTGCTCCAAAGCATAAATTTGAGAAAATCAGATTCAAAGTGGAAATTTAGAATCCGCCCAGAACTTCTTCAAGCACAGGTCGAAGCGTTGTCTGGGTGGAAGCGCGAAACGTGTCGAAACATTCTTCGCGCCGGTGTTCTTGAAGGGCTCTCATGTGTGCTAGTGGGGCCGTCTTTGGACTGTCTTGCGCTGTGGGGCCGTCCCAGGGCCCTCTTGAGATCCTTTCGGGCATTCTTTGGGCCGCTTTGGGGCCATTCGTTGCTGTTACAGGAAATGATAAGACAGAGCTAAGGAGTCTTTTTTGGCTTCTGAATGATTTGGGTTTTCCTGGAGGGCCTCTTGGCCTTCTCTTTGGCGCCTTGAAGGCATACTGGGCCATTTTTGCGCCTCTTGAGGTCCTCTTGTGTTCTGCTGGATGCATTTCGATACATGCTAGGTTGAGCCACCTTGGCGGCCTTGGTGGCCTTCCAGGGCCGTCTTTGAGGCCTTGGCTGGAGAGCCTCGGAGAGCCTTGCGTGGGGCTGCCCACGGGGCCTCCGAAAGGGGGGCGATGCATGCGACCGAGCACATCCGACAGCACGTGGTTTATTTTTATGCCTAGACGTACCAGGGGGCACGGTGGCGGATTAGAGGGGATGTTGTTGGACGTTTAGCGGTTGCTCGCTTCTTGGGCCCCTCTTGGGGCCGTCTTGGATGCATAGTTGGCCTTTTCTAGGGGCCTCTTGCGCCATATTTGCGTCGTCCTGAAGGCTTCTTGGGTTGCCTTGGACTTTCTTGAGACCGAACCGACGAGACTGCTATAATCTGTAACCGTTCATACGCGCTCTATGTTTCAATCACACATGTTCTGGGGCCATCCCCAGCGGCCTCACACTTCGGCCCAAGAGACCCACAAACGAGCCTCAGGGTAGCCCCTTTGGACCATCTCAGGGCACGTGGGAGCGTTGGGCACAAATCACTCTGCCGAGACCTCTCGAAAAGTCGCACGGGACACCCCAGCAGTGACCAAGAGCGCCCGTCAGTTGAGCACCCCCATTGTAAGAGTATCTACAGCACTCAGTATTGAGAATTCTCAATGACCTGAGGACACTTCACTCAGTGCCTGCAGCACGGTGGCGGAAGCAAGTTGCTGTGCCCTTGCACCTGTCATTGCAAGGCACGCGGCCCCTGGACGGGTCTGCACTGCCTTGGGGTCTGCGATCAAGGAACATAGTGGTGGTTATTCATGTTTGGTTTTATATACGGCCAGGTTGCGCACCGCGTGTGACGTTCGATTGGCTCTGGCTTGGTCCGAGAAGGATGAGGAGACAAGAAGACATGTATCCCAGAAGGAGGCAGGAGGAGGAATCTGAACATGTAAAAAATACGGATGGGCATGAATGGGGCAGCAGCCATAAGCAGAAGTAATGATTCATTGTGAGGAGGAGGATACGAGACGACGGGTGACGACGGCAACAACGAACAAGGACGTCTACGAGTACGAGAGTTCATTGAGTGGGCAAGGATGAGTTTTGCAGACGAGGGCAACGGGGCCATGAATCAGAGGAGGAAAATGGGAGGCGATGGAAACAACTCGGGGTGGCAGGGGTCCTGGGCTCTTCGGCAAAATATTTCCAGCAGCAAGCCACTGCCGTGTTGGCTCGGGCAGGGGCAGCCTTGATTCGAGGGTCAGTTGTACGGGTGGGCGCGGCTAGTTGTTGTTTCCGGCCCAGCGTCAACCATGCCGACGGGGAAGGTCAAGAAGTTCTTCGAGGACAAGGGCTTCGGTTTCATCACTCCTGACGACGGTAGCGATGACGTGTTCCTGCATCGCAAAGTGCACGGGGATGGCCAAGACCGCACCGCGTATATAGAAGAGGGCGCATCCGTCACGTACGAGGTGGAGTGGGACGACCGCAAGGGCAAGTACTCAGCCTCGTCTTGCGAGGGCCCCTGGAAGACAGGCGGTGGAGGCGGTGGTGGTTGGGGAGGCGGCGGAGGTGGTTGGGGCGGTGGCGGTGGTGGAGGCGGCTGGGGCGGCGGTGGGAAAGGCGGTGGGAAAGGCTATAACGCCTGGTGAGATACGGCGGGATGGTTCGGGCGGCCCGAGTGATTGTGAAAGGCGGCTGCGGAGGTGGCGGCTATCACGCCTACTGAGATCGGAGCGCACACGGTCGGGAAACCTTGTGTACAGGATTCTTTCTCGGAGTGCAAGTCATGATCCGTTAAAGATATGCGAGCTGATCATCCGGCTTCATCGCCGTCTTACACCCTGCGGCAGTTGTTGCTGCTTCAGAGCTTCTAGAGGTACCTATCCTGGAGCGCCTCAAGAGGTGTCAGACTGCAAGCTGGCCATGCGTCTGAGACTCTCCGCGTTCACACTGGATGCAACGGGGGTTCAGAGCGGCTGAGCTCTCCTGCCCAGGGACAACTCCTTGAGGGCAGGACCAGGTGCGCCTGACACATCCCCCTCCTCCTTCACCCCTCCCCTCTCAAGTGGACCTCGGTCCATCCTGCTTTTGGGTCGAGGACCAGAACCCTCTCGGATGCTTCGAGTAGGTCGGGTCCCTTCGGGGCCTCCTTGGAGGCTGCTTGGGGGCCTCTTGGGGCCTCTCGAGGGCATCCCCGGGGCCTTCGAGGCCCATGCAGTCTTGGGTCCATATCAAGCTGCCCTCGGCAGGTTCCACCACCTTGGCGACGCCCCGAGCACCGCCCAGAG